CGAGCCGAACACGAACACATTTTTTGAGCTCGAAATATAAACGAGTCGAACACGAGTTGAGAATGGCTCGCTCGTGTCTCGTGTTCAGCTCGTTTACACCCCTACCCAAAAGAGCTCTTCAGAGTGGTGGACAGCCCAGTACTTAAATACTGTTTTTCGTTCCTACACCTAGCCGATGTGGGATTTTTTTTGTCTGTGACATTACGGTTTTAAAATTGTGTTCAAATATTTTTTATCCATTTTATTGTTCGCCAAAGGGGTGCATGTAAAATACTAATTATTAAATTAATATTCTTATAATATCTCTTCAAGTTTTATGATATTTCAAAAGTAATTTTTTATGTTTTTTAGATAATGATCATGTTTATATTTTGTTATTACTAAATGTTAATTAATAAATAAAATTTATTTTAATTTGTTATGTTAAATTCATTTAGGTATAGAGTCGTGTTGACTGAGAGCTCATGAATCCAAGGGAGATCCTATTTTTTGGAGGAAGGTGTGAAAGAAGGTGATGGATATGAAGCTAGAGCTTTGAGTTTTTAATTTCTTTTATGCATCTCTCAGGGAGGAGAGAATGGTTCGAATGAAAGATTTTCTTGTTCATAGAGAGAGAGAGAGAGACTGCATAAGATTGATCAGTTCCTCTCCATCCTACCCCTCTTTTCTTGTTTCTTCATGCATATGGGGAAATTAAAGAATTACAAAATTATATTTTGTGTAGTAATATGTCTATCCTCAGTGTCTCAATGAATATATCATTGTGACGTGGATATCAAACGGTTCTTTAAATAAGTAGGAATGCATATAATATAATGCTATCATGATCTTCTCAGGTAGTTGGTTTGTCCTTAGTTAGATCGTTCATTTTAACACGTGGCAAGGCGCGACCACTTCAACTGATGGGTTCAGTTTGGTCATTTCAATTGGTGGGCTTAGTTCAACAACTTTGGTGGGTGGTCTCAATTTGAATATAACCTGCCGGATATGAGTCTTGTAAATCCACAATGGCTATTGATCCTTTATATTATACTCTTTAAAAAATAAAAATTATATATATATATGGTTACCTTTGAGTATAGATATTATTTTTATTACTGCTCAATATTTTATCATCTACACCACTAGCATTTTAAACTTTTATTAAAATGCTATAAACAGAATTTAAATATAATAATTTTGAATTTATCATAACAAAAACTAAATAACTATTAAATGAGCATTTTATTTTATAATTTGAATTAGTCATTAAATAATAAATAAGTATTTTTAGTATAAAAACAAGCGTAAAGATAATCAAACACATATTGTTATATCAAGCTCTAAAATGTATAAGTTAAACTTAAATAGAGCATGCCTAAATACACAATATTTTAAACAACAAGATGATTGTATAACATTACATAAGGGTGCGCATATTTACAGACATATCACGATAATCTATTATTATTATTATTATTATTATTATTATTATTGATGCATGCTAGAAAATTCAATGCGGTAGAATAATCGATTATCGTCTTAGCGTTGCACAAAAATTCAACACTCACAGATAACAGAAAAGAAGTAAGCAGGAAGAGACACATCGACTTTTCATGTGGAAAACACTTGAAAGGGGGAAAAACTATAGGACCTAGCACAGTTGAAATAATTCACTATGAGTGATGAGTACACAGATTCATTCTTTTCCTAAATTAGGGAAAAATGAAATTACTAAGATGTATAACTATAATCTGCTTGCAATTCTTGGTGATAACAGGTTTCAAATGTCATTGTTAATTGTTGTGGATGTAGTAGTTCATCGTGAGTGTTATAGATGATTGTTCCAGAAGCTTTGATTGAACAAAGAAAATGTAGCAAACAGTTACGGGAGTTGTGGACCACACAGGCCGTAGTGGAGAGTATAAATGACGTCGGTATGCCACCAGGGCCGGAGTCGAGAGCTGAACGAGTTGTGAACCAAGTAGGGCGTAGGGGGTGAATATGAATGATATTTGTAGGCCTTAAGGGCCAGAGTCGGAAGTTGCGTGAGCTGATGACCACACAAGTCTTTTGGGCGAGTATGAGTGACGTCTGTTAGTCGCAGGGGCCAAAGTTGGGAGTTGTACGAGCTGTGAACTAGGTAGGTCGTAGGGGAGAGTATGAATGACTTTCGTAAGTCGCAAAGGCTGTAGTCGGGAGCTACATGAGATGTGAACCATGTAGGTCTAGAGGGCGAGTATGAATGACGCCCATAGGCCGTGAGGGCCAGAGTAGGAAGCTACACAAGCTATGAATCACGTAGGCTGTATTGGCTAGTATGAATGACGTTCATAGGTCGAGGGTCGGAGTCAGGAGCTGCACAAGCTGTGAACCACGTAGGTCGTTGTTGACACATAGACCGTAGTGACGAGCTCATGCCCCACGACGATGGTTGACGACGTTTGGTTGGTGGTGATCGACAATGATTGGTGGTGATCAAAGGTGACGGTTGACAGTGGCGGACGGTGATCGTCGGGTGTAGACGACGGTCAGGATGGTGTTGGACTTTAACTCTTTCTTAGAACTTCCAGTTCTCTCTGAAGCTTCAAGTCTCTCCCTCATTTGAGAGTTGGGGCTTTATTTATAGTGTTTTGGGGGTCATTAATGCTTGAATATGAATCATTTTGACTGGAGGGTTTGGAGAGCTTCCTCCGATCAAACGACGTTTAATGGACATTTGAGTGCCTTGACAATGTCGGAATTACGTAATATTGGGCTTATTGGATTCATCTTATCGAGACGCTCGATTCGACTATAAACTTGCCAGATTCGGTAACTGCTTGACTTTCCAAATGTGTCCAAAAATCTTCCAAGAATGGTTTAATGACTTGATATGGGCTTGATTTGACTTGAATTGGAATGACTTTGATATCATTATGTTCGTCTCATCGAGTTGGTCAGTTTGATTATAAGTTTGTTAAAACGGAGCTCTGGATGAGTTTTTATCAATGTTTGAACATCCGTTGCGCAAAATATTATCTTGAGATCTGTGTCATACCTCGAGATTCGTGCTGTATAACGAAAATTTGTTGGTGGCATATCAGTTATTATTATTTAACAATATTCCATTCAATTATATAACGATGCATTGTACTAATTTCTAAGAGTTCTACAAATATCTCTTCTAAACATCTATCTATATATATTCATTTATTGAGTCGTTATTCTACTTTTATTTGTCATTTTCAAACCCAAGTATTAAAGTTTATAACAAAATCTATGTAGAAATTACGTCTGATCAAATTAGTGTGGGAATTTGCCGTGATAATGTAATTCACGGATTATTAACAACGAAATACATGACTCGGAATTCTGCTGCACTGCAACTCACTTAATAGCGGCAGATTACAGGTAGAAAATTATGATGCAAAGCTTTGGTGGTTGAAAATCTTGTCAATAATATGACGCTATTTTCTTTAAAGTTGATGCAATGTCGCCATGTTATCATCGTGCTCTTCTCTGCTTTCTTTCTTATGATCTTGCTTCGATATGGCTCTGACAAATCGTTTTCGACAACGCCCGCGGCGTTGTTATACTCTGTGACCTCGCGGAAAGCACTTCGACTTTGGCGAATCCTTTCAAACTAAAACTTTCATTTTTCCAATCTCTCCCGTATTTCTTACATTTTTCATCATCAGTTTTTTGGCTTAGGATTTAGGGTTATGTGAATGTTTTTTGTGGCGTTAATGTAAAAGTTGTCTTGATATTTTCTGTTGTTGAGATATGATAATTTATAGGAATTAGGTGACATGCATGCAAATAAAAAAAAATGTGTGTTTTTTTAATTTGGTGTAAAAGTTAGGTTGTAAGAATTTAAAGTTAAGTTTTAGATGTTTACATACATAAGAATTGGGAAGTATGTATGTAAAAGTCTCTTTACTTTTATGTGTGTGTGTACACATACATGTATTGTACATCAAGAATGTGCCCACACAAATCCCAAGGAGATCCAACAGTCAAGAAAAGAGAAGTACAAAAAATAAGGGTCCACTGACAGGAGACTAAGAAGACCCACTTATCTGATTTGATACAATCATCCGAGCCAAGGAAAAAGGCCAACCAAGCCAAGAGAAGGACAAAATGCAAGATCCAAGTTTGGGCCAATCGGATACGAAGAAACATATCAGCTCTTGAACTAACCACCACAAATAAGTCGAGTGAAGCCATCAACTTACCTCTCGACAAATCAAACCAAAGGAAAAAAATACACTTCCTCTCCCTCAAAAGCCGCCTCATAGACGCCCCTGAAGTTTTTCATAGGGGACCAAGAATTGGAAATATAGTTCAACCCCACAATCATTCTGAAGGGCATCAAAGAAATGAACTACTTATCGAGTTACATTGATTTGTCATTTGCTTGATAGTCTA